TATATATATATATATATATATATATATATATATATATATATATATATATATATATATATATATATATGTTTTTTTTTTTTTTTTTTTCAACATTTCAATAGAAGGAGCAGCTCAAACCTTTAATTGCCAAATGGTGGACAGCAGCCCTTCATAGTTATTTGTGTAGCCCTAAACCCAACAGAAAGCCACTAAAGAAGATTTTGGGTTAAGAATCAGACATAAACACTAAAATAAGCCAAATGTAGCTGAATTTTATGACGGTTTTAGAGTGACATATGGTATCACACTAAAACTTAAACATTTTGAGGCATGCAAGGAAGACATATGTTCCTGGTGAATGAGATTTCTTGGTGCGGATGGATTTCCATCATTTGCGGATGGAAATTTGGGGTATCAAAATAAAGGAGACAGCATACCCTCAATAGGAGATCACTTTGCGGTGATTTGTGATAAGGCAACATTTTTGATTGACTTTCAGAAATATTATCCATCATGTTTTGTCTCCTCAGTGCTAATGTACCTGTGCTGTGCTTGGTGTTAAGGCAGAAATGTCTCTGGTTGGATGGCATAAATGGCTGCAGACACGGTGTGAAGCTATCTGTTAGCCAGGGACAGCTTGCAACTAAGTTAAAGTGTGGCTACACTTTTGTGTAGAAGACAGACTGTTTTGCTAATTGCAGCTGAAAGCTGAACACAATACACTCCCACAGTACATAACACTTGTTATTAAAGGGTAAATGTATCTTTTGCATTCATAACAATTTTGTGTTCCCCTCCTTTTTTCCACAGTTGATAGTTTGGGATCTTGGCCAATTGAAAATAAAACTCCACACTATTGCTCCTCTGTGAAGCACAAACTTGTTTCTATGAAAACTGCTGGCACACAATACCAATGAATAAAATTGTAGTTACTCAAATATTTATCACCGTAGTAACACCTTTGGTTTATTTCAGTGGTCTTTTTGTCTGTCTGGTTGTTATTGTCTCAGGTCTGGTCTCAAGCTTGAATAGATTGCCGCTTGGATACAGCAGCAGCGAAAATGGTTGTCAGGGGTTACCGCAACAGGGAGGGAATGTGATTATATTCTTTTTACATTCTATCATAACCACAGATGGTTAAGAGGAATCATCCATCCATCCATCCATCCATCCATCCATCCATCCATCCATCCATCCATCCATCCATCCATCCATCCATCCATCCATCCATCCATCCATCCATCCATCCATCCATCCATCCATCCATCCATCCCTTTAGAAGAATAAGATTTAATATATCTTCATCCATCATCATAGCACAGGTTACATCATAGGATGCAACATTAGGAATGACAGCTTTCTATATAAAAAAGGCATTTCCTCGATGTTAGTGTACAATTTAATCCCATCTCCTTGCCTAACTCAACCCATTTTCTTTTATTTCTGCTCATGCCTACTGCTTCGTTTGTGGGTAAAATATTTTAGGATGACATGAAGCCAATATGTCCTCAACTATAGTTGATAACCATGTGAAAAATTTAAACAGTTTCTAAGCCTAGTCTATAACTGTAGTGCATGTTAAGAAAAAAATATATATGAAAACAAAATGTAATACATTCAAAGACATTAAACTAAGAATTGTCATGGGTTTTGAGATATTTAAATACAATATCTGTAAAGGAGAAACACAACTATTTCTGCTGTATGTTTTTGAGAGGAAAACGCTAATTTTAAGAAAATGCACTATTTTTTTTTTTTTTTTTACTTTTAAGGGCAGAAACTATTTTAAACTTTTGAGGTATTTAATAAAAGAAAAATACACTGGATGATATAAAACTGGACATGAATTCTGAGATTTTGGGGATAAGATTTCAATGCACAATCACTGCTTCCACTGGTTAAAGAGCATTAAACACAGAGAGATGCATGAATCTTCTTTAGTGCAGACAGAGTGTCTGCATAGTTTAGCATGACAATAAGTACTATTGAGAGTGGGCCATTGCTGCCACAACTAAGTAGCTAATGGATAAACGTTTTAGCAGTAGAACACTGTTTGTACAGTAGAGGGGTAGAGATGTGATGTTCATTAGGCAGAATAATCCAAAATATCTGTCGCCTATCCCATAATACACTCTGGGACACACTGTTTTTTTCCTAAACCTTACACCTGCTTGGAAAATGTGGATCTTCTGTAAAAGCTGACATTATATTCATCTTTACATGTTGACCTGTTACTTGTGCATTGGCCATTAGAAGGGTAGCTATTTCTAGAATATTTCAATCTCTTCATTTTAGAGACAGTTTTCTTCAATGTCTTAACCAACCAGCATATTTCAAGTGGGAATAGTTGGACTTTCTTGCTTTGTTTTATGTTACTGGGTGTCTGTCCATCAGCAGAACAACGACTGACACATAGAGTGTCCTGCTGTCGCTCACATATACTCCTAGGTTTGTCACCAGTGGCCTCTCAGGCATGTTGGACTATTGGATTCACATTGAACCAGAGTGAAAAGCACGAAGAACATATAAACTCTACAAGAATATACGCCCCAGGCTGCCAACCAAAGAAGAAAAAAGAAAAATCACACTATTAGCATTTTTCTGATATTCAAATTCTTCTCAAATTAAGAATGAAAAAACAGGAAAACATGCTTGAACTAAGATTTTGTTAACCTTCATACTTAAATATGGACCAGACTTGCAAAGAGCCACAGTGGAGGGGCTAATGAATCGCATGTGGTTCCACAGCTGGAGGTTGCATGCACCTATTCTCTCATATACAACCTTAGAGGTAAAATGATTTGTTTTAAAATGTTACAAACATTAATAGATACTTCTAGTAAGCTAATATATTTATATTTTTATTGAATAGCCAAATGAACACTTATTATCCCAAAATGCACTAATTAATCAAAGACACAAACCTATACATTGCAGTTTATTCTGACTGAGCCTGTATAGCACATTTGCAGACTGCAGATGTTATTTATAAATGCAAACATTTTCACTTCCTTTGATTTACTTAATTTGAGAAAAAAGAATATCCATATGCATCAATTAAGTAAAATCAAAGAACAGGCTTTATCAGACAAACAACTGCCTGTATTTACTATTTTCCAGTATAATATTTGTCTTTTAATTAGATGTAATGATAGCAACAAAAAAACATAAACATATTGAAACCCTTATCATTTACTTTCAGTATGCATAGCTTTAATTCAAAGCCAGAAATCATTTGGTCCATTACTGAATATTACAATCACCATTTAGATCTAAAATGATCTCCAGAATGAGAGAGCTGTAATGGTGGCTGTGTCTATGACGCTCATCTCTGGGGGTGCTCAGATTCTTCGCAGCAGAGCCATGCTTGAGTTCTAAACTGCCAGCTAAAAATTCAGGAAAAAAAGAAATGTGCCCCTGAGTAATTGGTGTAATCTCTGGGCTTTAACTTGTGCCAATTTTCCTTTTTTTTTACTTTGCTCTGATCTGCATCTGCATTTACCAGCCTGTGCCAACTGGTCCCCCTTACATATGCACCAGACCTTGCCTCTTTGATGCTGATTTGATTTTGAAAGCGTGCCCTGGCTTGGTATTTATCAATGGCAGTCATGTTTTTCTAGATGCCTCAATGAGCCACATTATAGGGAGCTGTCAGGTTTGAGAACTTCGGCAAAGGGAATGGTGTTAATTTGCTCTATACCCTGCAACCTTGGGGCTGTTCTGCTCTTTGTAATGACTAAGCACAAGTTGACAGTAGACAGAACACTGGCTGCCTGTGAGAGTAAGGTATGCAACAAGAGAGCAGAAACTGTATAGGCTTTGACTGAATTTAAAAGATTAATAGTGGATAAATTACGTATAATTTGTGCTGAAACTTGTCCTGACTTTGTAGGTATTTAAATGTAAAAAAAAATGCCACAGTGAAAATTGTCTGAGTATCTTGATTTCTTTTAAACGGAACCTGTTTTATCCTTTCAACTCGCAACATTTACCCCTTGCCAGTGTCTTTATAGCAAACCCAGTCGTATGATGAGATCACAGAATCCTGGTAATCTAAGTAATAGATTCCTTTCTGTTGATTCCTCCTGGGTCCATGGTTCTGTGTTTAGTGATGTATGCACCATGCAACAGCACTGGACAGCTCATCTCTCTGAGGCACAAGCACCTCTGCATAAGCACATTCGTTCCGAGGCAATCTCTAGATGGGGCTGCTGCCATGGTCATTGACTTTCACAGAGAAAGTAAAGCCACAAAACCACTTAAAAGTCATTTGGGCTGTATTAGAGAAAAAACATATCCTGTTGGAACAGAATTTCTACTGACCTTTTCTCTTTCTGTTGTTTTAAGTCTCTTAAAGGTCTCCACAGACATTCTATTTTTAGTCACAGGGTGTATGATCATTTGCATTCTCAGTTTGAACCTCTGTTTTCTCTTCTCAGTTTTAGCCTTCCCTTAGGTTTCTTCCCCAAATTCCAGTCATTTTAGTGCTTGATGTTCATACACATAAGAGATCTTGTCTCTGCAAAGTCCCTTGGAGCTTTTCCCTTAATGTTTTTTTTTTGTTTGTTTTAATATAAGCACTTGTAGCTTTGTTGGTACACAAAGATACACAGCCCCAAGTGTTTGAAAGATGTCTCCAAACTGGAAGTTTCAAATAAATATAAGACTAACCAAAGAGACAGTAAATGGCACTTTTTAGGGTTTCCTTTTTCTGTCTATATGCCTCTTTTAATTCCCTTTGACATAATTGAGACATTTGATGAACATCGGAGCATCTCATTATCTGTTGTTATGCCTCCACAGGGCTCATCTGCAAACCCATCTTCATTTTAATCAATGGTCATGCAGCACAGCACACACACAGAAGCATGAAACACAGATGAATCAATATTATAGCACAGATCTAAACAAAACAAAAAAGAACTAAAGGATTTCTCGACATACTGACGTTTTCTTTACACCGGTACAAGTCAGTGCTGATGGAAATCCTGCAGAGCAGATCCAGCTGTGCTGCCCCTTACCTGCGTGTCTCTGTGGAGGTCCTCCTCTCAAGCTGTGCCTGTTGAAGACTCCTGGTCTGCACAGCGGTGCCCTCCTATATGGGCATGCATCTGTATTGTGGATCAGAGCTTCTCAGTCTGTGTGTCAGCATGGAGAAGAGGAGGGATCAGGGATCAGAGAGTCCTCTCAGCCGGCAGCCCCATCTAGCGCATCTTCTTGTGTCTCCTACTTACCCGGGTCATTCCAGCCAGCCCCTTAGCAACCGCAGACCAGGGAGCGAGCACTCAGGGGGGGGATGGGAGGTGCTTGCTGGACTAAAACACAGCTGAAACAGCGAACAGAGTAGCTACTCCTCCTACATGTCTACTGTAGCAAGTGGACACTCTGCAAGTCTCGGTTCACCTCCTGCTTTCTCCCTGTGCACGGGCATCAGTTTGTGTGTGCGAGTTTCCACATTGATGCCTGCTCCTCCCTATGCTGTGTGTGAAATCAGTCTATACGCTCCCCGTTAGCACCTCTGGTAGCTCCGAAATGCTGTGGCAGGGTGAGACAGGATGGGAGAGAGGGAGGGATGTGTGGGAGCAAAAGAGGAAGAATGGAAACAGAGACACTATAGCAAAGGGGCTTTTTTTTCTCCCTATCCAATTGACTGATGCCAGTTAATCACAAAGGAATGATTGAGTTCATGAGTCATTCCTATTGCCGTTATTCTGCTTGTGTGCACAAAGAAGTAGGAGACAATGGATACGGCATAGACAAAGATGGCATATATTACGCTCACACTGGCTTAAAAAAGTTTCTGGAAGAATATTATAAACCATTATATTCTCATATAACCCAGATAAACAAGGACAGTAAGCACATTAAAAAAGCAGATAAAGTAAATCAAGCTAAAATGTAGATAAGGCAGGAGAATGTCTAAAACATATGCAAGAGCAGAGCAGAACATCACAAAGTCATTCATACCATTAGCTTTACTCCTGTTCTGCTACATTGGATCAAACCTTAAATATGTATGACCGTTTCAAGAGGTTGGATTTTATCTGTAAAATATGCCTAAAAGAGAGCCCATAGGACACGGGTAACCAATTAAAAATCAGAGGGGTCCGAATAAAGAAAATCATCAACCAGTAAAGGTCTGAAGACATTTTTAATGATCTGTTACTTTAAACAGAATTTAACACTGAAATAAAATGAGGTGTTTATTCATCCATGTTGTACATAGAATTTTTAAATAAAAAATATAAAAAAAATAGAGAATGTTACCATTTTAAAATCTAAAGTGTTTTTTGAAGTAGAGAACAACAACTTTTCAGTTTGGTATATAGACAATGTCCTGATTCTCATATTAAAAAAAAAAAAGCCTGAACTTTTTTTTTCTTCTTTTCTTCTGTCTTAATGAGAGCAGTGGGCTTTAGGCTGTAAACCTGGGTTTGAATGGAGACAAAGCCATTCTCAAGCACATATCAAGGTGCTAATTTTGAGCCTGGATCAATATTTATTTTTGATTCTGTTTAATGGTGGAAAACCCTGCTTCGCAGCAGCAGGTTGAGCCAAACATACTCAAAATGTGCTGGGTCTGCTCCGGTCCGGCCAGGTCAAGATTTGCTATTGCAATTGCACCAAACAGGAAAAAGAACGGCGAAAAGATCCAGTTTGTCAAATTAGAATATAGTAACGACAGATCAGTAACTACAAATTAGAGCATAATTCTTATATATTTCAAAAAACTAACACCGTTTATTTAAAAGATTGGATGCAAACTATTGGTACTTCAACAAACCAGGAAGCAGATTTCTTATCTCCATCAGAAACTGCACATGTGCTGGAAGCTGATGGGGATTTTTTTAAATATGTCATATTAAATTAAGCGTTCATTTCTGCATGTTTTGCTCCAACGAATTTAATGATAATATTGTGCATGCTATCCTAAAGCTCAGAGGACAAGTTGGAGCGCAGCAATATGGGAGGAACAGCTGAGACTGTAGGCTTTGGTTTGTGCAGGAGGTTAACTGCGACACACATGCAGGGAAGGAAGAGACACTGTAATGAATCAAGATGCAGTCTGATGGTTACTTAGATGAACATCCTTTAAATGAATGTCATAATAATAATTTCAATCAAACTTTAATATTGTCATATGATTGAACTGGACTTTATCTAAATATATCCACCTCCTTTTGATTTGTTAGTTATTTGAATTATATTACAATACAATTTGATGGATTGTATGCAACTTTACAGGATATTTTCAAGAACCTTCAAATTATTTTTGTTGTGAACTGCTTGAGTTTATTGAAATGAATTGAAAAAAACGGATGAGTTTACAAGTATGAAAGTACACTGAAAAAGACATCTTTGCAAATGACAAGTAAAAGCCGGCTGGGCTTTTAGATTCATGAGAGGAAGGAAAATGAGCAAGATACGTGGGGTGAACTGTTGAGGCTGAATTTCTGAGAGTACTGATCTCTTCTTGGAGCAAAATGTCTGTTATGCTGTGACTGCCTTAAGATTTGAAGCAAAACACACTAGGGGGATAAAATGGAGATCAGAAAACATCTGATGACAATGGAGGGAGGCATGTAACCTTGAAAACTTTAGAAAAGCATTTGGAAATAATAATAACACAGTTTTCTTCTTTCACTGCATGCAGAGGAAGAAGAAAACTTTTGTGATGGCTTTCATTTTAGTTATCACCATAATCTTCTTGCTCCCTCACTTCTTTTACAGTTAAAGAAATAGGACAAAACTACAGTTAACATAGAACAACACTGAGAAAAAACTCATAAAGAAGCCATAGCAGACTGATGTACTTTAAGACCTGATGTACTTTATACTTTGAGACCCTGTCACACTTGACGATTTAGACCAGCGTATGCCTGACATACGGAAAACCTGGCAAAAACGCTGGTATAAGTTATGGGTACGTTTTTTCCAAATTATAAGCATGCTGAAGTCCGCTGAAACACGCTGAAAAACGCTGGCATACGTTGACATATGGAGAGTACGTCAAGACATTTTTTACCATGTTTAAAATGGCCCACAATGGCATACTTTGCCATTGGGGCGACATTGGCGTTGGATGTAGGAGTTTGCCTGAAATCGAAGGGTTGACGGTTCAAGCCCCGACGCAGACTTTCAGTGTCGTTGTGTCCTTGGGCAAGACACTTCACCTGCATTGTCTACTGATGGTGGTCAGAGGGCCCGGTGGCGCCAGTGTATGGCAGCCCCGCTTCTGTCAGTGAGCCCCAGGGCAGCTGTGGCTCAGTGGCGGCTGGTGAAAAATATTTTTGGTGGGGCTGATATAGCCTAGTGTATGTCTCCAACTAATCCGGAATAAGAATTCAAATAAACAATTGGACAATACATACAATTTAACAGTAATGATTTAATTTACTATATAATAACTAACAGTGATGATTTGGGTCACTGTGACGGGGTTCTTTGGCCTCCAAGAATCCAGGCTCAGTCGGGTTACCGGTGTTGGTGATTTATTGTGCTCAAAAACTCAAAACAGGGTGCAAAAGAAACTAAACATATACAAGATACTCTGGGCCTCAGCCTCCCTCCAGTTACCAGCAATGTAACAAAGAAACAGAAAACAAAAATTGCCGCTTTTCTTCCCACAGCCCTCATTAAATAGTTTAAGCCCCTACCCTCAGGCTCTCTTATTTCTGATTTCTTCTCATTAATCAGTTTTGTCCATATATTACCTCCACAAACAATTGATGTACAAAAACAAATAATTTTTACAACTTAATTCTTTTACACAGATTCATTGACTTATTTAATTACACCAAACTGGGTTTGAACCCAGCAAAGACGCAGCCAGACTGAAGATGACAAGTCCCTATAGCATAAACATGTACACACCCACACCCCCCACACACCCACCCACACACACACACCCCACACACACACACACACACACACACAGCTAACCCCACTGAAATATTAAGTGTGCACCCTCAATACGCCAGCAGGTAACCAGGAACAGCTTGTGTGTTTTAAGTTCATGGAGCTACTGGGCTCAGCGCGAGTGTATTGGTCCTCACAAGCACAGTATAACAGGAATGTGTGTGTGGCGCGCAAAGTTAGAGAGGTTGTTTTAAGCGACGAGGTGGATTCGTCACAGTCACAATAACCATGACATGAAATGTTCATATCCTACAACAGGGATGTTCTTCTGGCAAACGGGTAGATAAATAAGGATCTCACCGAATTTGGTGGAAGCTGCATCTCGGTCGTTACATTCGCCATCTTCCCTCTAATTGTCTGCACCTGCGCTTGGGTTCAGAAGCCTGTTAAAGCGCAGTATTTTCAGCGCCCCAAGACCATAAAGTTCCGAGACGCTGATTGGCCATTAAATTCACCTAGCAATAATACATGATTGACAGATTCTCTGCAAATGTGGGGCTGTCTGATCACAGCCCCCAGAACAGAGACGGTAGGAGTCTGTCTGTGGAAATCCACAAATTAAGGACAGTAGATAGGGAAATGTAGTTTATATAATTTGTTTTGCTTATAGGTACACAGTCTAGAGAGTAAAACTGACATTTATGAGTTAATTTCTAAAAATATATTTTACGTTTCTCTCTTCTTATCAGGGGGGGCGGTGCCCCAGCGCCCCCTATGGGCCGGCCGCCACTGCTGTGGCTACAATGTAGCTTGCCACCATCAGTGTGTGAGTGTGTGCGTGAATGGGTGAATGAATGTAGTGTAAAGCGCTTTGGACAAGTCTCCTGACTTGAATAAGGGCGCTATATAAGTACATGCCATTTACTATTTACGTGGGCCAGAAGTTACTGTTAAGCTATCTGATTGTTGACATACAGTACATTAAGTGTAAGTTACTCATAAGTCGTGGTGTCTAGCTTATCCAAAACCGTTGAGTAACTTGTGCATCTTATGCGTAATTCATCAAGAACTTATCTCCAACGCATATCAATGTATTTGATGTGTTCCAGACGATCGCTGAACGTGTTTCTAACTTCCAGCTACTGTATAATGGCATTTTGGCAGCGTTTTGGTATAAAACGGGGTTTACCGTCAGTTCACTTCCAGACTGTATCCCCATCACAGGGTGAGCAAGACGCTGAGTGTGATGAATCCTCCCTGCATTCACGCCATCGGCCAACAATCTTTCTAGCAGACATGATACTGAATCTGCTGCAACTGCAAACCCTCTTTCTTTTTGTTTTTTTTTGTTTTTATTTATTCTTTTTTTGTGGCGGGTGGTAAACAGCTGCAAGGTTAATACCGTGATCAAAGAAATCTTTTTGTGCAGGCTGGGCGCCTCCGGGGGAGCAGCGATGCGCCTGAGGGGAGCAGCTTTAACTGCTTCATAATGCCAATAAAATGATGCTTGTACATCATTTCATTGGCATTACGACAGGATTACGACAGCATCAGTTAGGCTGTTGTTGGACATTGGTTCTGGACTCGTTTGAATATTCTATGCATATACCCAAAATTGCAAAAAATACACAGAAAGTATAGCGTATTGAGGAGATTCTGGGA